CCGTGTTGGGCGAGGCGGTCGCTTCGCCACGATGGTACGGTTGCGTTGCCACGATGGTATTCCTGCTCACTCGTGACAGTTTTCCTGCCCGCTCTACGTGGGTGGTGATTACCACGCTTACTACAGGAGTCCAGTCGTTGTAGTTACTGGAGTAGTATAGAATCTTTCCTATCAATGCCCTCGTGCCGAGCTGTGTGCTACGTGCCAGAGTCTTCGCCGTTCCGCTATTGGTGCCCGCTGGGTTTGGCACGCCGTGGTCTATGCCTTTCCGAAGCTGGTGCCATATGCTGCGTTTCCTGTTGCGCGTCAAAAAGTCCGTCTTTTCAATGTTGTTGCACGCTGTGTTTCCGATTGCTGGTGCCCCGACTCGACATGTGCTACGCTTCCCACTGTCGATCGATCTCCGACTTGGACAAACTCTTTCATGTGTATTGCGGCTTTGGCACGGATTGGGCCTGATGACAGGATTGCTGCCCAGATTCCACGGTCGTGTGTTATCCTCTCTCGGATGTTTCCTGCTCCCCTCCGTCCAGTGTAGGGTTGTGTTTCTCAGGGTCATTTGTAGGGTTGTGTTTCTCGCTGTTGTGTATGGATGGTTGTCTGCTTCATTTCATTGACCTCTGATTTTCGCCTTTTGACAGTGGTCCTCTGTTTTATTGTCGCAGACACGTCTCGTGCATGGCTTGTGGTGTGCATGCTATGCCACGGCAGGCTTGCAGCACAACCTTGGAAAGCATGGACTGTGTGGCGTCTAATACAATGCTCAATGAGGATTTTCCTCCACCGCACCTGCCAATGTGTTCACAAGATGTTCGAAGTGGTCACGATCATGTCGATAATGCTCCGGAATCTCCTGCTCGTAAGAGGTCACGAAATATTGCGTGTGCGGACACTACATGTGAAAGTGCGTATCCCGTTCTTCGATGCCCGGTTGGAACCTGTGATGTAGAGAGTGCTCAAGGTCAGGAGGGTAAGGCCTTCTCTACTGACAACGACGCATCCGATGTAGATCGTGTTGTATGGGTGCCGAGGAGTTCACTTCGAGATTTCGAGTACACGTCTTCTGTTTGGTGAGGGTGATGAAGGTGGTTCAGATTCAAGTGCTTCGGTGTCGTCTAGTGCTGATAGTTCTCCGGATAAAACCGATCTTCCGCAAACGTACACTGACCGGAACAGTGACCACTGTTGTCGAAATGACGATGAGAATTGTGACGTGATCTCTGATTTCGATGACATTTTTCCAAAACGTCTGTCCTCAGAGAAGCGTCCTTATACTTTTCGTCTAAGAATGCCCCGGTCAAAGAAGATTCTGCAATCAGTTCATAGAAAGCTCACCAAAAAAACACTGGTGAGTGTGCGTGGGCAGGTTTGCTGTAAGCGAGAGTGTTGCGCTCAAATGACCCTGGACGACATCAAAGTTGTCCGGAGCGCATGCTACTCTAAGAACCAGCAGAGCAGGGATGCGTGGTGGGTTGAAACGTTGAAGAGGTTCACCTTCATTGAAGATGAAAAGGAGATTGTTCAACCTATTGTGGGGAGACGAAAGGTGTGCATTACTGCTTGGTGTTTCACACTGGGTGTATGTAGGAATACATTTCTCAAAAAAAGGATTACTTTGTCAAAAGGCTACAATATGCCTGAGCATGGCAGTACTGGACTCAGACACACATCAGCAACATATGCGACGATATACGGAAAACTAAGCTCCTTCGTGCGAGACAACGGAGATTCCATGCCCAATGACATGAAGACCAAAGAGGGGGAATCAAGAGTGGTGTTGAGATTGCCTGCTTGCTATAACAAGGTTGATATTTATAAGTTGCTAAAGTCACAATTCGACAACACGGGTGCTCCTTGTGTTTCTCTCCAAGTTTTTTACAACATGTGGAGAACGCAGTTCTGGCATGTGAAATTTCATGACATTGATAAAAAATTTGCGAAATGCGAGAAATGTGTTGAATACAAAGAATCTATCAATTCCGCAAAGTCCGTGCGTGTGCATGAGTACTTTGTTTCATTACGCGAGAAACACTTGGACTTGCAGCTCCAACATCGTGCTGCGTATGAGGTGTGAAAGGATGAGTCGAAGAGACCGGGTTCCAACAGTTTGTACATCATCATTGACGGCATGGACCAAAGCAAGACCAGCATTCCACACTTTGGCGGAGAGAACAAATCGAAGGCATTCGCAAATATTCCGATGTTGAAAACGAATCTAACAGCTATTATTGCACACGGTCGCTCACCATCGGTCCATGTTCACACATGGTACCCTTGCTATCCACATGATTCTAATGTTGTAGTGTCATCCATTATGAAAGTTCTCCGCGACATCCAGGCGACGAGCGACTTGCCTCCTAAACTGGGGATACAAACTGACAGCTGTTGGAGAAAAAAAAAAAACAGATACGTTTTGGCACTCGCTGCAGCTTTGGTGAAATTTGGTTTCTTTAAAGAAGTCGAATTCGGTTTTATGTTAGTGGGACACACACATACGGACGTTGATGCCACTTTCAGTCATTTCTCTCGCAAACTGAAAATGCACGATGCATATACCATGCTCGACCTCTTCAAGCTCGTTGCCAGTTCTAAAAAAGAACGTCCATCGTGCACATTCATGGATGAAATTGCTGATTGGCGACCTGTTGTTAAGCCCTTCCTGGTCAAGAGACTGACCGGTCATACTCGTCCACATGCATTTAGGTTTTATATGCAGGATGACAATCCTGTGTTCCAGTGGAAAGAGTATTGCACTTCTCCTGAATGGTCTACTCCAGTATATTGCTTTAAACGAGATGAAAACAAAGCATATGCTGGACCTGAATGGCCATTCGTGCCATCACCTGTTCCGCCGTCAGCTTTTCTGCCTACTAAAGATAGGAATTCGGATTTCGAATCGGGAATTGAAGGTGTGAAGACGTTTGTTGGGTGGTTGGAGAACAAGCGGCACGAGTGGTTGGGAATGAAATATAAGGTTAGCTTCTCAAAGGAGAGTGTTTTTTCACACTCGAAAACTTTCCTCGAGACAGTCGAGGAGCATTACGGGTCTGGGTTTGCGAAAACTTCACTCAAGGCTGACTTCTGGCCCTCACAAGACAAAAGTAAAAAGGATGATCCAGATGATATTGATATTGTCTTCCTCTTGAAGAGCAATGGGAATAAGGAACCGTTCTTCGTTGGACTGGTCAATGAGCGTCCAAAGGCGGAGCTCAACCCAGTTGTGGATGTCGAAAATGTCAATTCGTTCTCTTGCGTCCTTCCCAGGATGATATCGATGAGGGAGTTCCTGTTTGGATAGGTAAAGTCATTTCCGATGTAGACAACGATATCAAGTCGTCAACTTTCAATCACATTCTTATTGAATATTGGGTGCCACAACCTATTTCTAAACGTCTTTCTATGCAATATTCGAACGCATGAAAAAAGACGTGGAAGAAAGACAACACAACATCACAGCAGTGGCAGCATGTAGACTGTGTTGTGTGGAGATGGACATCAAAGACATTGCATTTAGAAAATGGGGTGCACATTCCAAAATCGGCCAGAGAGAAGGCCTTGGTATGCCTTTCACTTCCCAATAATGAAGATCAGTGGGTTTTCAATATGTTTTGAAGAAGAGCTAATCGTTTTTCTTTACACGTATTAGTACGTTATTTAGTTGTCATCGAGTTGTCATTTATATATATTTAAACTGTATTTTCATGTGTTGCAGAATGGTTCAACCATTTGTGACGACTAGATGGCCGCCAAGTAACATGGTGTGGAGAAGAAATATATGGCATGATATGGGTCCAATTTTCTTCACATCCGAAGTGATCTTTGACAGTGCAGTACTCAGTGTTAGAGGTGTGGCTGCCCCACCGGAAGACTGGGAACATTCTCCTCGAGAGTCACTGTATATTTGTGGTCGGAGGTGTTGTGGATGCCCCACCTTGAGACTGAGAACATACCCGCGAGAAGTGCTCGCACCCTTTTCGGAATTGTACTATTCAGCAGTCAAATTCTGCCACAACAATTTCAACGTGATGACCTTGTTTAGTGCAGCGGCAACTGTTCGAGGTCGATGCAAAGTATCTTTCCTTATTCATAATGACTATTCTGCAAGTGCAAGTGTTTCCAATGCAGACAACATCGATGAACGACGACGGCAAGAATTCCGAAGGAGGATCATGGAGCAACCATCACTCAAAACACTCATGGATGGGTTTGTGGACACGACCATCAAATATTTGCTAAGTCTCCTGCTGCGCGAATATGAAGTAATAGAAAGTTATATAGAGTATAAGGATCCGGCGATTGACGGACAAACTGATACCATCATTGTAGAAGATTGGACAACTTATACAAGGACAGACTGAAATGTTGTCTTGATCGCATTAGTTTATCCCCTAAGTCGATCTAGTTACTAGGCTTGTTTTACCTACTAACTTATACAAGGACAGACTGAAA